TTGCGGTTCCATCGAGTTTTACTAAAACAGCTACAGCAAAGGCTGCCAAAAAACATAGATATTTTGGAAACAATATCATCRTTATCAGTTCAAAATACTTTAAAAGTAATAAAAGATCCTTTAACTTGACTTTCACAACTACTTAATATTGATGTACAAACAATTGATAAAATAAATATACAATGGTCAAATATTTTAAGTGTTAAGTGGATGGAAAAATCAAACACTATAAAATTTTGGAACGAGGTTTTATCATATACAGATGCTAGTGGTTTGAATCCTTTTCAAGATCTTGCAAATTTGGCAATGCAAATATTAGTTCTTCTTTGRTCAAATGCCGAGGTGGAACGTCTTTTCAGTCAAATGAATGTAGTCAAAACTAAGTTTAGGAATAGAATGGGTTTAAAACTWTTGGATTCTATTTTAACCGTCAGATTTAATGTGTTACCTTTTTTTTTTTTTTAATATTTCTCCTAATTAGGTAATTCATAGTTTGTATTAATAACAGAATCTAAAAATATTAACTATATGAAATATGAATTGTAAAATAAAAAAAACCAAATAAAATAATATTATCATTTTATACCACGTAAGTACATTTTATAATTTTTGAAATAACTTGTATCGTCATGATGTAATACCATGGAAACTTTTTTTGTTGGAATAACACGTATCTACACTAAAAAAATTAAAACTAATGAAATTTATTGAAATAACTAAAAATTAGTGAATAAATTATATTTTTTTTAGTAAATATTAAAGAATTGAGGATTTTCCTCAATAGGAAGCTGCCTCGGAAACTGCTTTGGGAGACCAACTCAAAAGCAAAAGAACACACTAACATGTTCAGTGGGGGCACATTATCTTTTTGAAGAATTAATAAAAATACTCGTAAAATTTAAATTATAAATTATATTGTATGGTGTATTTGATCAAGTTCTTAAGCCGCGTACACACTTGTAACATTAGCGAGTAACATCCTTTGATGCGACTCAATTTACCGACAACTGGTGGAACGGTGTTACGGCGTTACAGCGTAACAGAARATGTTACAAGTGTGTACACGGCTTTAGATAATACACAATGTTGAGATCCTTTAGAACAMCTGGAAGAAGGTAATTGTGTAATAATTCTAATGTTTGCATCTGGTATCATTCTTCAACACTTAACAATGGCGTGTTTAGGAAGTGGGTCCGGTGGGTAWGTGCCCACCCACATTTTTATATAAGTACTAGACTAATATATAATAAAAATACTTAAACTTATAAATAGATCAAATTTTTGTATGAGGAGGGGGTAAAACCATTCTGAACTTAATTTTTGTGGCCCATCCACAAAAAAAGTTCTGGACACGCCACTGGCACTTAAGTGTAAGGAATAAWACAGGTCCTTAACTTTAAGATCAAATTTTAATAYAACTATATTATAGACAGGAGTCATTTTTATAATTATCCCATCATATTTTTGTATTTTTAAAAATAGAAAATTCATTATTCATTATTCATTAGATAAAAATTAATCAATTAATTAATAATAATTAACAGATTATTAATTATATATTATTTATTACAAGRTAATTTTCCAACTCCACTGAATAAATCAACATTCTATTTGACAAAATTTCCCTTTCAATTTGTATCTTAACTACCTCATTAAATTTATATTTCAGTCTTACAAATTACAATGTCAAACTTTATTTCTATATTTAATTCATTTTTTTTTACATTTCCCATGTATACTTGTATCTATTTTAACCTCATCCAAACATAAAGATTTATACACTTCATTTTCTTTTTCTACTCTGTTAACCTGATTATTTTCATTTTTTATTTTAATTTTGTACATCAACAAAATGATTTTTAATTACACGAATTCTATAAAACTTCCAGACACTCATTTATGCCATGTACTTTACCACAATATTGTAACAATTAAATATATAAGTTTTTACCTTACCATTTTCCTTAGGTGTCTTGTTTGAATGTTCATTGCTGTAYTGTTACGATATTTTCTCTCACTGCTTTTTTCTTTTTTCCTTGAAACTTTGTTAAATGAAACTTGTTAAATTTTTTCATTCTTCTTGATTATATTAATTTTAGTTTAACTTTCTTGTACCACTAATTTTCTGTTAATTTCTGCATGTTCAGTTATTTGACGATGCCTCAAGACTTTATCAAGGCTCAAGTCTTCATGTAGCAATTTTGATTGRAGGACTTTGTAACTGATACCAAGTATGATCTGAATTTGTAACAATTTGTCTTTTATTTCCCTTAAGTCACAATTTTTTATGAGATCTATTGGTTCAACATAAAATTTATTGAACATTTAACTGGAGTCCTATTTTCTCATGAAAAATGTATAGTTTCCCATTACTTTGTTTCTCTTTGGTATACAGTACCCTTCTAACTTTAAAAAAATAATATTGAAAGTTTATTTTTTATTATCAATGTTAAATGGTCCATAACTCCATCACTGTTAACTAAATTTAGTAAACGTATTACCAATAGCTTTTCCTGTTTTGTAGAAGTTTYCATGGCTTCGAAAAATATCAAAATGTTTTCTTTAAATAATTTTGAATTTTCAGCAACATTTCCAGTTAATTTTGAACATTCTGGTTTATTTAATTAAATGATTGACGATTGTATGCGGAACCCTTTGGTTCACTTAAATTTTTTAATATKTTTTAATACACAATGTRAGAAATTAGGAAGCATAAAATACATTAGTAACATTTTATTAATTATTTAAGTCATAACTGATKCCAAGTATTTCTAAATTTAAAATTAAAACGATTTTCACATAATAATATAATATACGATAGAACGACTGAAACATGACAAAACAGATTTTGTCATGGACTGAACGATGCGTTACTTCAATCATGATATAACCACAGAACAATATATAACTAAGTTAGTTATTTCATGACTTCAATAGTTCAATGCTATATTGCTATCTTATCGCGGTAAATACAGAAAAATACCGTCGTGTCTGTGTATAGACATAACCTAAAAAACGTTAACGAGTTTTACACATAGACCTCATATCTATGGTTTATGGTCTATGGTCTATGGTTTTACAGTATTATCAGTTATCACAACATCACTACCACGATTAAAGATATCTTTAATCGTGATCACTACATCAGCTTGTAGCAAAAAATATATTGAATATCTGAATAATAAACGATTTTAATAAAAAKTAAACACATTAAACTATAATGTTAATTAAAACCACGGACTTAGTCACTAAGATATTCAGTGCTGGACACGACAAGGTTTTTGTTGGAGGGTGTGTGGAGGTTGATCGCCATATGACGTTATRGAACAGGCGGTGTGCACATTATAGATATAAAAAATTGGATAGGCCATTTTTGCTTATCATACGGAAACGAACATGAAAATATTTTGATGTTATAGAAGTGTTATAACGTTATAACACAAATATATGTATATAATTTATTATAAGACCTCTGCCTTAATGAGAGACATTGATAAAAACATTCTTTCTCTCTTCCTCATATCGGCACACGGCACACCTCTCTATTTTATTAATATAGCCCTGACCTATCCATTCTTTAATGCAGGGGCGTCATTCCAGGTTTTTTTTTGGGTGTGCGAAGTTTCAAGCAGGCCATTTTGAAATTTCACCAGACTATATAAAAATAGATATACATACGTAATGTATATTATCCCGCATTCAATTACTTCCATACATTATAGACCGGTTATGACAACTTGATTTTAATCATACGAATAATTGTGAATTCGTGGCTCGTGCATGATTTTAGGCTTCAGCAAGGCGCAGGCCAATTGTAACATTCTAAAAGTAAGGGGTGCAACCGCACATCCTGCCCCCCCCAAATGACGCCCCTGCTTTAATGTCTATAGATTTGAAGGAACAAATATTTATGTGAGGTATGTAATTCGTGTTTGGTGGAAGAACAAAATCAAGAGACTTCGTTACTTCTTGAATTAAATACTCGAGGAAAGTTAATAAATGTTTCGTCAGATATTCATAAAATGTGTTTAGCAACTGAATAAACTCAGATGTAGCCCTTAATTCCACCATGTAGATATAATATTGTAATAGTTAACTAATTTTAAATAACTGTAAATTTGTAAACTAATGGCCACAGAAGCCGATGTTTTATATAAGATCAATAAAAAAAATAAAAAAAAAACTCAGATATTTAAAAAAAAATATATATATATATATAAAACAAATATTATCAGTAAAAAGTATGATTGAAGTAAGCCAAGATTCCACAATATTTAACTCAACTCTTACGAAAGATCACCTATTCAATCAAGATGTATTTGACAACCATCATAGTCAATTGTTACGGCTAATAATTGATTATTATGCAACATTAAGATTTCATTTTTTCTGAAAAACACATACGCTTTCAATAACAAGTAAAAATATTATAAGAAATTATAMRAAATTAATTTTATTCAAAAACCAATAGACAGTATTTATTTATTTTTATTTTTGTATGATTATAGTAAAAATCAATACCTATTATCAATTATGTAATATAAAAAATAAAAATTTAAAATATGGCAATATTTATTATTAAAACACTAAAACAGTAAATACACATGTGAATAATTTATCTTAAATATATTATAAACGTAATTAATATTTTGAAAAAACGCGCAAGGTATCTAAATATAATATTAATCAGCAGTCAACCTAATMTAACTTAACGCACTTCATACATCCATGTCAGAGACTCGTGTTTCAATATACAAAAAAATGGAGTCCATTTATAGCATATGATCTAAGATTTGCAGGAAGTATTTTCCGTACGGAACAAGATATTTCTTATAATGTGATCTAGTTCCTTAAGTATCCACTAAGGCGGAGTTAATAATGATAAAAGGTAAATACTCCCTGCACACCGCCTGTTCTATATCCTAAACATTTCGTGTTCAACTCCACACACCCTCCAACCAAGTCGCATCTAGTCCTGTGTACCTTAGTCCATAGTTTTGACATGTCAGTTTACTTTATTTAAACAAATTGAGCAATTTTTTGAGTAATAGACTGCCTGACTAAGATATTAAGTATGATACATTCTTTTTTTTTTTTTTTTGACAGCTTTTGACTAATTGTTATCTCTAATCAATGATCGCCATTTATAAAGATCCGTGTTTGACTACTTTAAAATGCGAATATCTGACAATATGTACCTAAATGTTGTAATTTATTTTAACACGAATAACTTAATAATAGATGTATTATATATTATAATAAATTAAGTATAGGAAAACGGGTAAAAATTTTTTTAAAGGTATTTCAACGAAAGGAGTGGGGGGGGGGTTGAGCTCCACAACGGCTTGTTTCATTTAAATATATAATGCCCCTACAAGTAAAAAAATGAAATTCCAACTACACTCAAATCCATATATTAACCCATCATTCAGTCTTGATTTTTAGACGCAATTGGTCTGTAGAGATATATTTTAAAATTGTATTTCATAATATGATGGTTCTCTCATCCATTAAACAAATAAAAATGGAAATGAAATCACTATAATTGCCTATTTAGGTGATATATGCCTAAATTATGTGCTACCTACAAACTATATCTATTTCGTGTATAATGGAATTAATTATATAAAACGTCTGGTCCCTGTATCGTGAGATCATCATAATTCTAAATGCTTCGAATATACTTGAAAAATATTACGGTCCAATACTATCAACACGGACTAATCCAGAGGATCAGTGCTGGCGTTCGTGGTTACGTCTAATTATGCGTCTTGATGTTGAAACGATCAGCGACGGTTTTCCAATGTTTGGACAGTGGTTTCGCCTTGTCGGCGGTCCGGTGGTTGACTGCTTGCACCAGATTGCTGAACTGCAATCTGGCCATCAGATGCCTGTTGGTGACGGACCGGACAAACTGCTCGTCGTAGCAGTCGGCTGGGTCGCCGTCCAGCCGACAGTGTGCCTCCGCCTCGGCTCTGGTCAGCAGCACGCAGTTCCACGGCGACCAGGGCTCGTGAGGACGCCACCGGACCAGCCGGAGTCCGTTGAGCTGACTCGACTCGCCGACGGCCGACTTTTCACGCCACACGACGGACACTAGCCGGTATACCTCGGTGGGCTGCATCAGGAAACACTCGGACCCGTACGCAGCTTTCTGCATCTCGTCGTGCCGGAGCGCCTTTAACATACGCCGGTATGGGGCCATGTCGATGCGCTTGTGTCCCACCTGTTCGGTCCACTCGCAGCTGGCGCACACATTGGTCCGGTTCACGCGACTCTCCAGCGAGAAGTCGGTGGCCGCCAGGTTGCGTTTGCACCGGATACACGTGTACACGTTGAGCACGCGCTTCTCGGTAGGCCGGTAGTAAGAATCCGCTTCCGGATTCACGTCCGGCTGCCGGATGTAGTGCCGGAACATCTGCTCAACGCGGGATCGCGCTGACCGCAAGCTGTCCGCATCCGCACCCATGTCGGCCAGGCCCTTTTCCATCGCCACGGCCGCCAGAAAATGTTCCTTATACTTGTAGCACGACCCGGACACTGCTGCATGCAGCTCGTCGAGCGCTTCGGCCCGGTTAACGCCGTCACACGGAATAACTATTTTCGCATAGATCTCCTTTAGCGCCCGGGCCTTCTGGTTGCCCACTGTGTCCACGGTAAGCAGCTTACCCGATTTGTTCTTGAACATCTTCGGCTTGGACGTCTTGTTCAGGAATGTCACGTCGTCATGCTTGGTCAGTTCGTACTTGAGCTCTGACCGCTGTTTCTCCACCTCCAGCAAGAACTTGATCTCCTTCTTAAGCAGGTTCATCTGCGCCGCCTTCCTAGCATTTTCAACTTCGATCTCCTTGACCCGCTGCCGCTCCTTCTTCCACCACTTTCCGATCATCGTGTACAGCGAATAGAAGTGCTGCTGCTTGGATTCAAGAGCCGATGTCGTCACCGCAGCCGCACCASCGTCCGGTCCCGACGTCATGCTGCGGGACTGCCGCTGCCGCAGCATCCGCCGTTGATCGTCATCATTTTTCGCTTCAGCTTCGGCTGCGGCCGCTACACGCCGTCTCTTTCGTGCCGCCAAAGTTCTCCTGAATGCTCGCTGTATCTTGAGCACGCTGCTTAGAACGTGATCTTCTTGTAACCACGACTGGTAACTGTGGTAACGCCTCGGCCTCACCCACTTGCCATCCGTGTATCCGAAACTGCCGCTGTAGTCATCGCTGTCGGTCTGCGTCCACGCCGGTCGGCTCGTCGCCCGGCCCACCGCTCTGTCGATGCAAGTCTGCGTCCGGCCGTCCACCCGGTGGACAACGGGCGCATCGGTCGTGACAGCCTTGGGATCAGTCTGCGCGGCCGCATGGAAGTATGTCTTGCCGGTCCGCTTGTCCCGGTACCCACCCAGCCACCGCTTACGGCCTTCCACCCCTCCACACCGTTCGATTTCCACCACGAGTCTCCTGTGGTTAACGTCTACTGTGATGACGTCCACTGCTGGCAAGTAGTACGCGGGTGGCTTGGGAAGCTGTATGCCGTCACCCCTCAAGTATAGTTCAAAAATGCCCAAAGACGTCGCCCCGAGCTCCTTGAGCGTCTGCCCGTCATGAGGCAAACGCAACACTACTCCTGTTTCTTCGCGTTCAATAACTATTCGGTTCGGGTCCATGTTCAGTGTCTGGTACAGGTGCGACCTAAGCGCACCAATGTCGGTATTTAGGTTGAACGCCTGCGTCAGGGTTTCGTTTGCATCCGTACGGAACTTGACAGTCACAATCTCATTACCACAGTAATTTTCGGTTTTCATATCAAGACTTTGAGGCATTTCATCCGGCATTATAATAGTGAGTGTTATATTATTATACTGTTATACAAATATAAATACATTATAGATAAGTAGTACAATCCATTCACAGTCTTCACTAGTTCACTGAAAGAATGTGATGTGGTCCTATACCAGGGGCTATGTTTATTGATTACACTTAAATCTCTATGACAACCTAATTTGGAATTGTTTGTTACCTACTAAACACAATTTAAGATACTATCTCAGATTGTGGCATTGTGCTACTAAATAAAATTATTTTCCTTTTTTTTTTATAATTATACAGTAATATTTTGTTACAACCTAACAGTTGTGAAATATTATTTTTTACATTAAATTGTATTGTATAACTTAGGATTACAATAACATATGAAGGTGTATAATGCATAGGTAACACAAATAATTGGTTTAAATGAAATGTTATGCCTCAAATCTCTAAAGGTTCTTTATTGTCTCCATCTTTATTCTTAAACATTGTTATCAACACTGTTAAAAGAGGCCTGAAACCAATAAATTAAAATTACTGAAATATGAAAATATTATAATATTATGAATTAATCATTATAGGCACTTTTATCACCCAATGATCAATATTCAATACCCATTTAATACCTAATAGGTACATAACACTTACAATTTTAATGTTTCATCATTGTCTTCAAGGCATAATAATGAAGTCATCTGCTTTCGATAACCATTTGTGTTTAACTCAGTTCCCAATTCTTGAAATAATAAAATATGCATTAATTACAAATTTCTAGCAGTTGGTATTTTTTCATTTTAACCAAATACCTACCTTTCTTAAACATTGAGTTTGTCAATTTGTATCCCATCCAATCCATGTATTCAGTTATGAGCTTATTAATCAACTCAATTGTTTCAGATGGCACAGGTTTCTTTTCGGTCGTAATATTGATCACACCTTTTTCCCTAAGGATTTTTTTTATTTCATTTTCTACTGTTGATGTAAAGGTATCCCAATTAGGGCCATTTTTTAGAGACTGTTTAACAACTAGGAATCAAAAAAAAATGTTATTACCATAACATAAATTTATTTGACTATAAATTGAATAAATAAATTATAATTGGTTATATATAGTTTTAAAGTTTTAAGAAGAATTCAACAGGCTTAGGTTAGGTGTTAAATCCAAATTCACAAATTTTTTTGTCACTGCTGGTAGTAGTCTTTTAGAAAAAAATCTCATAAATATGAGGATAATTTATTGCAAATTTATGATTTAAAATGGTTTGAAGAAAATATAAAWTGTCTATGTGAAGCAACTATTTTATGTTTTTATGATGAAAAGTGAATTTTAATCATGGTATATTTCAACCATTTAAAACCCCACACTGTTTTATGTTTAAGAAATATAGTTGGAGGTTGACTTGTACACAGGGTAATGGCAATACTACACAGAAGTATATATAAATGACAAAGTAGGAGCGATAAACAGGTGTTGCCTAAATCTATAACACAATTACTGAAGTACTGAAACAACAAACGACTGGAGTATAGATACATTTGTGACTGAAAGTACTTTATTTAACAGATTATACCTTAATTTTAGATAGGCTGAGAGAATTTTCTTAGAAAAATTCCTAGGTTTAAATAAAATAATATATTTTGTAGTTGAACAATTTAAATTATATTTTATATTTAGTTAGAACATAATTCATAATTCATATTTAAATATTAATCAGTTATTATCATATCTTATTGAACTGCTTTTATCGACCGTTTGTGCAACCGGCCATTAGTTTTGTTTCCAGGGATTTTCCCCCCAAATTCGTATGAATATCACCGAAATTCATCAGGACAGCGAGTTACGAATTTGTTGAATATTAGCAGGTCGCAAATACCTTCGAGTAACTTTGTATCCACGACATCAACTTGTCGTTCCATCGCCACTACTAGGCTAGTAGTTTCTAAGTGTCTAGTAAGTCCGCAGAGCTGACTTTGAACTACTGAACTCGCACGCCTCGACTCAAAAGTATTGGACGTCGAGAATTCCTGGATTATAACGTTTTTGAATCGTAATTCCGGTTCCTAAGCGACAATGGTAAGGATGACAAAGTATATTATACTGCTATATTTTGTCAAAATGACAGCAGAATATATTAAATTTTAAATTAGAAAAGACACATAAAAAACTACCACGGATAAGTTGTCACTAACCAAAAACACATAACAGTGGTCAGTCGTCAGTGAGCCTGCAATGTGAGCAATGAGCTATGAGCATAATGATAAATGATAATATGCAATATGCAGTCATTGAACTATATGATAACTGGAATGCTCACCAAGCAGTGTTGCCCGAAACGGAATGTTAGAACGAGATGGGACATACTAATGGTGTTACTATCTTTGTCTTACACATTGCGCTAATATCTTAAATTAATTTACCGCGGTCCGCGATACTATTTTAGACTTTAGTTTGGTTTTGGTTCTTAAAATTTGGTATCTTTATATTTTATTTTTTAACTTTCACAAAATTTTTATGATTAAATTGATAGAATATAAATAATTATAATTTAYAATTTATAATACCTATAACAAGTATTGAAACATGCTTTTCTTGTGGACTTCTACATTTGTCATATAAAATTCTAATAAATTCAATAGTAGCAGTAGCATTTTTAAAATCATTATTACATGTTTGTAAGAACTGTAATGCATCAGCTACGCTGCTACTCAAARCCTGGACTGCTAAAGGAACACTCATTTTTTTGTTTTTATAAAATATATGTAATGAACTTAATTTATTGGCAAACTTCAAATTTTCAATTTGCTGAATTTCATGAAGCTTTTTTATATAATCAAATGATATCGTACTGCCTGAGTGAGATAAACTTAATTCAGCCATACAATTTCGACAAATTTTCATAAGGTGGCAAGGATCAATAATACAATGAATATTTATAAGAGGTTCATCTGGATGAGGAAAAGAAGATCGAATATTTGAATGATCCATGCTACAGCCTAAAACTTCATAAGTCTTTAAGTTTGTGGTTGTTCCATCACTTGTCAGAGATCGAACTGTAATTCCAGCTTCATAAAGAACTGAGACAACAGCAAGTACTAATTGGCTCTGTACTGTAGCATTTATTTTATTTATAAAAAAATAAGCAACTGGAYACTTAAATTTTTTATTTAAACTACCAATTATAAATACTAGTGCTTCTTTTGCTAACTCTTCATTGTCTGTGTGTGCAATGCCACMAAGATCACAATATCCATATACTTTTCCACTTTTATCAGGCCAAAATCCCTCCCTAATTGACATGGCATCATAAATTAAAGCAACATCTTTTACATGCGAAAAATTAGATGCCTCTGACTTTAATTTTTGTTTAAAATAATCAATCACTTCATGTAAAATACCAGGGTTACAATGTCTGGTAGCTATCCATCTACGAATAGTAGAAGGATCTGGTAGTGTACTTCTTTGCCTTATAAACTCATATGCTCGAGGGGAATAAAAATGCAATGTTAAACAAAATTCCCGTATTTCTTCTGAATATGATTTGTGATTTGAAGCAGTATTTACATTAGCAATTTCATTTTGAAATAAAGCAAAAGGTAGAGAARAATCAAATTGGTTTTTAAAAATATCTTCAACAGTATCTCCAATTAAGTGATTATTTTTTAATAGATTTAACATTTCACGCATACTACTTACTCGCTTATCTCTTCTAATTAATTTCTGTTGCAAAATCCTATTGTCTCGTCGTAAATCTTGTAAAGTTTTTTCTAATTCTTCTCCTGTTAATTTTGTCTGTACACCAATGTCGACAAACTTAGTTCCGGTTTCACATATAGACATATATTCACTATTATGAACAGCTAATAGTGTGGCTGTGTCCTAAAATACATTTTAAATAATTATTTTTCTAAAGGAAACAAATTTCTTTATACATAATGGCCATGTAATAATATAAATTCTTGTTTTTGTAAGTATATTTACTTACTTCTCGTTGCAAAATTCTTCTTTCTTTTATCTTTGGTGTTAAATGATTTGGGAAATTAAATACAGTTGGTATAGCAGATTTTTTTAACATTTGTTTCCCACTTACAACAGCTAAATAGAAATCATTTTCATTGAAATGCAAACTACATAAAGTTGAGCTGGAAGTAGGTTTAAAATCCTTTCTTCTTACAGCATGTACCCATTTTTGAAGCCTYTCTTTCTCTTTAAGAGGGAACCTTAAATATCAAAATAATAAATGTACATTTGTTTGAAATTTTCAATGTGTAAATTCAATAACATTTTATACTAACTTGTGAAATGACAAGTCTCCCCTAACGTCACTTGAGCTAGTACAATTAAAAGCACTACAATAATTCACCATCTTAACTTGCCCACTAATTGAAATTTGTTTAAGTTAAAGTTTAAAAGTTTAAATCAAAGAACAAAACGTTAAACGAACGATATTATTATTATTTATTGGTAAACAGTCGTATTGATAGTGTGATAAAAAGAAATAGCAACACCATTCTTATCTGCTGTCTTTTTCTAACAGGCTATCTCGGTTATGTTTACATTGGTCTTATGGCGGGTGAGCATTCCAGTTATCATATAGTTCAATGTATGCAGTATGCTTAATGTTTAACGTATACCGTATACCATACCTACATTGCTACTCTTGCAGTCTTGC